ACGCGATGCAGGACGCCGTGGAGCGCCTGGCGAGGGAGAGGCGGCTGAGGAGCCTGCGGCCGGCGCAGCCGCTGACTCTGCGGCAGATGTTCCCCGCCTTCGTATTTCTCATCGGCGGCCTCGTCCTGGCGGGAGCCGCGTTTGGTGGCGAGGTCCTGAGCACATTCTGTGGGAGGCGCCGCCGCAATATACCTCACTGATGGAAAGAAAATTATTGCCGAGCAATATTTTACATATATAACCAAGGTTTTGTCCGACCTATTTTTTTCCAACCTCGTCGATATGCTGAAATTTGGGAAGAATGTGATCTTAAGAGGAACAGGCTTCAAAAATGAAAATGGGGGAGTACTTTCCCTATCCAGGACGACTTCAGAGTTCAAACGGGTATCAGCCGAACATAATTGGTCAGAACATAATAGGTGGCTGTTTAACCCCGCGCACTTTTGTACCGCACGCAGGAGTGCGGGTGGGTTGCCTACTCGCCCGGTCCGGTAAGGCGCCGTAGACAGAGGCGATAGGCAAGCCCACCCGCACTCTTGCGTGCGGTACAGTCTAACTACAGAAGTGAGCGGGGTTAATCAGCAAACTGGTATGACCTGTGGTGGGTCAGTACAATTTAACCAACGCACGCGTCAAACGTCTCACAGACCTCGGGAGTATATTCTGACGATCTGTGGCTCGGCTGATCGCCGTTAGAACTCAGAAGTCATCCTGCAGTGGGATGGGGAAAGCACTCCCCCATTTTAATTTTTTATTTTTGAAGCCTGTTCCTCTTTGAAGCACATTGTTCTCAATAAATTTCACCATATCGACGAGGTCAGAGAATAAAAGGCCAAAACCTGGGTCGAAAAGCACTTTCGGGGATTTTGGAAAAGTCACCAGGTCGGAGAAAAATGAGTCGGAAAATCTTAATAGACCCCGAGGATAGCCCCGTCTCAAGCTGCAAAAGGACCGCAGCTTTTCGGGTCAGTAGCACCAGTAGCACGTTATTGTTTTAGAAACACTCTATTATCTCGCTCCCGCAGTTTATAGATGATGGAATTACCGAGCAAGAGTTTCGTTTTGAAACGGTATTGCACGTTGTACGGAAGCATAAGTTTCTAGTTGTAAAGGTGGATTCAGAGTTCCCGAAAAGTGAGCGTGATTCTCACGCAAAGCGTGATTTTCACGCCCGGCGTGATGAAAGTCGATCCCTGATTGGCTGCGTGAAGCTTACAAAGCGTGAAAATCACGCCTGGCGTGAAAATAACTCTTGCGTTTCGTGAACTCTGCATCCACACTAAAAGACAAGCTACAGCCCTCATATTTTTCCTATTATTTATTTTAAAAAAATACACATTTACATGGTCATTTGCTCTAAATATTTTCTAAAGTAAAATATAAATAAATAAAAGAAAACAGAAACACTTTTGCTGATCCTGTTTGGTTCGCCTGCAGACGTCGGCACGCGTACGAGCGCGTATGGATGAGTCGCCTACCGGCTCGGACCCCCAGGACCTCCCAGGATCTCACGTCCTGTACGTTATCTCGGGTCCGGGCCTCCTGGTCGGCGCCTTGGTGCTGGATGGCCAGACGGCGCCCTCTATCCAGGGCAGGTAGTGCGACACCCGGGCGTACACCCCCGGCGTGTTGAAGCCGCAGAACTGGCCGAAGGACACGACCCCGACCACGTGGAACATGCAGTATGGGTCCGTGGGGAAGAGCTGCAGCGGTCCGCCCGAGTCCCCCTGTGACAAGGGGGTGGTTACATTAACTGCTGCCTGCAGGAGGGCGTTGTTCAGAAGCTACGTGGACTTGGATCGGGTGAGGGAGATCCAAATGTTATGAGGAGGATCAGGAAGCCGTAGGCTATTCCACCCATCCTAGCACCTTAATGAGAATGTTTAGACAGTCCCCAAGACTGTCTCTACCAGAAGGAACCGTGCCCCCCCCTCCCCCCCCAGCCCCGAGTGAACAAGGGGAATGCGGAATCATACGGTTGGGGGGATGTGATGTAACGTAATAGATTTGTAATTAAATGCTGACGCCAACCGGCAGAAAATGAAGCAATATGTGCAAAGTTTTGTAGTTATGGCCCGTCGCTGAATAAACCAGCAGCGGTAACAACTCATTTAAAAAAAAAATCAGTGTAGCTGCGCATTTGTGGATTTTCGAGGCGTGGGCACGCACATGGTAGTAATAAGTGAACTGATGGCGTTGCCTATGTACCGGGTGGTGCACCTGCGTTACAAACTTCACGCCGTGACTAAAACTGAATAGACCTTTTTGTTGTCCTCGATCGAAGTCCTAAATAGACCAACCTTTTGCAGGCAGCAGTGACGTGACGAGGCAACCACAAAGTCGCTAAGATTAAGATAGATACCATTAAAGTAATAACGCCCTGACGCGCAACTTCTATGGCCCGATCAATATTAGGATTCAGCCATAGCAGCAAATAAGTTGGTAAGCCTTCGAAGCAGGCAGTCCGCTCCAAATGCACGCCATGGCCGCT